TTGAATATATCAAAGAATTTAACTACCCTGCGTGCCTCTCGACTATAGTGCTAGTCAAGAAATCAAACAGAAAATGAATAATGTGTGTGGACTTCACTAACCTAAACAGAGCATGCCCAAATGACAGTTTCCCCCTTCCACGGATTGACCAGCTGGTCAACGCAACGGCAAGGCACGAGCTCTTAAGCTTCATGGACGCCTATTTAGTATAATCAAATTAAGATGCACATCCCTGACCAAAAGCATACATTGTTCATCACCGACCAAGGGCTCTGCTACTACAAGGTCATGCCCTTTGGACTTAAGAATGCAGGGGCGACCTATCAACGCATGGTCAATAAGATGTTTGCCGATCAGATAGGTCGAAACATGGAGGTATGACATGCTTGTGAAGAGCAAGAAGATGACCTCTTATATTACCGACCTGGAAGAGACCTTTGAAGTCCTCCAAAAATACCAAATAAAGCTCAACCTAGAGAAATGCGCCTTTGGGGTCTCCTCTGGGAAATTCCTCGGATTCATGGTCAACCAGCGTGGGATAGAGGCTAACCCAGAAAAAATCCGAGTCGTGCTAGATATACAACCGCCCCAGAATTTGAAGCAACTTCAATGCCTCAACAGAAAAATCGCCACGCTAAATCGTTTCGTGTCACGGTCTACGGACAAGTGCCTGCCATTCTTCAAGGTGTTGCGCAAGAAAGATCGTTTCGAGTGGCTCCTGAATACCAAGTCGCATTCGATGAGCTCAAAAGCTATTTGGGCTCTGCGTCGCTGCTATCAAAGCCGCTACTAGGCGAAGAGCTCGCACTATTACCTCGCCGTGTCTACAGGTGCAGTGAGCTCGGCACTGGTGCGGCAAAGCGACGACTGACAGAGCCTTACATACTACACGAGCAAGACCATGACGGACGCCGATACTCGGTACCCTCAAATGGAAAAGTTATTCCTTACCTTGTGTGGGTCTCTCTGTCCACCACGACATGCATGCGTAGGAGAGTCAAGTCAAGGGGGAACGTTATACCGTCTTTGCTAGTAAGTGGATCAGAACACTAACGGCGATGTGCCAACTAACCTAGCACTAACTGTTGCAACGCGACGTCTTCAACCTACTTCCAAGCCCACAAAGGGAAGGTTTTTACCAATTTCCCATTGAAACAGGTCTTCTAAAAGCCCGAGACCTCGAAGAGACTCATGAAGTGGGCTCTCGACCTAAGTGAGTACGACATCGGCTTCGAACCAAGAACTGCGATAAAGGGGCAAGCGGTGGCAGGCTTCATCACCGAGCTCACTCTGCTCCCAAGCTCGGGCAACAACGACCTAAACCGATAGGTCCTACATGCCGACAGATCCTGGAACCAAAAAGACAGTGGGGCCGGAATCCTTCTCCAAGCACCCAATGGAGATCGGTTCGAGTACGCGATAAGGTTAAATTTCTCAGCTTCAAATAACGAGGCCGAGTAAGAAGTAGTGATAGTAGTGTTGTGTATGGTTGAAGCCATGGGTGCCACGTGCTTAGATATACAGAGCGACTTGTAGCTCGTAGTCAATCATATCACAGAGGAATATCAGGCCAAAGATGGCAAGATGGAGAGATACCTGCATAAGGTGTGTGACCTGCTGTCTCGCCTCCAAGAGTACACCATAGAGCGAATACCTCGGGCAGAGAATGCCAACACCGACGCTATGGCTAGGCTAGCATCTTCCTACCCAACCGAGCTGCCCAGGTTAGCTCCAGTCGAAATCTTGGTGGCCTCCTCAGTTCAAGAACTATAGGCAATGAATATTAAA